TTTGAGTTTATTTTCTTTGAGTTATATTTGAGTTTTCTTTAAGTTTTATTTGAGTTTTACCTTTTGTATACATATATCCTTACTCTCTCTATATTAAGTTAAGTGGTATAGTTAGCAAGGCCAGCTTTCTATATTACAATAGAATAATCAATCAAGTGATTCTTAGAAAGAATTAGATATTGATGATATACAAACAAGTTTTAATAAATTGGTTAAATATGCCAGCTCAGACAATATTCTAGAAACTGGGCTATTTATGCTGAAAACTTGCTAAAAATAAGACATTATATCTTATTGCTAAAAAATCAGTCATATCTGTGTTCTTGTTTATCTATTATACAATATGGTATAGTATGTCAGTATTACTTTCAGGTGATGCTGAATACGAGTAAAGCAATATTTCATATTCAGATACCACCTTCATATTGGTATTGTATAAAGAAAACTAGTACAGAAGAACCATTTGTAGTAGCAGATAAGTTTTTTACAGAAATATCTAAAGTATCTAATTTTTTAGTTCCTTATTTATATTAGTGTAAACAAGAAAATTCTGATTTTTGAGCAGAAAACTTAACCACACTTGAGCAAAAAATAATATATAGAAATATTCATAGCACATATAAAAGAGCACTTCATAAAGTATTGCAAAATAAAACAAAACTACAAAGCTTAATCGAATTGCTTTAGAATTTTGCTAAAGTGAAAATGAACAATTCGAATCAGATGATACACAAGAAGATGATAATATAGATGATAGTATGGATAACAAAGAAAATAGTGATTTTACTTTTTATATACAAAACCTGAAAATATATCATGACAGAAGTCATCCTTAAAGTACCAAATACTTAAAATTAGCATATAAAGTATCAAAATCTATGATAAATCAGCATATAAAGTATCAAAACCTATGATAAATCAGCATCAATATAAGAAATATGGTAGTCTTGATTATTACTAAAAGAATTGCAAAGTATTAATATAAAATATTAAATTAATTATGTATTATAGTAGCTAATAAAATTTTATACAGGCTTAAATATGTTATTTAGTAATTGTAGTATATTATATAGTCTTAGTTCATTTATAATATAAGTTGCTAATAAACTTGTTGCAGTATATATTTGATAATTGACAAACTAGTACTTTAAATTTGATTTAGCTTGTCTAGTTATTTGTAAGGATGTATTAGTTGTGTTTAGAGTAATGTTGTATATCCAAATATATATAGATTTTTTATATCCAAAGTAGTTTATATATACCTATTGTGATTATTTTGTTATATTAATTGTCGTGATTTAAGTTAGCGCCTGCTAAATTAGCTAGAGTAACTTGTAAAGTGCAGATTTTTATAATATATAATACATGATTATTATTATTAATCAATTTCAACTCTATAGAATAGATATTTAACTTCTAAAGGAGTTAAATCTTGTCATCGAATTTTATGTTCTCTACATTGGCAAATATCACACATTTGTATATAATTTTTGATATCATTGTATATAGTAGGCCAATAATATCTTTTTTTTATTTTGTTATAGGTAGATGATATACCCAAATATACTCTTTGTTCATCATGTAGAGTGTATAAAATAAGGTGTTTCTGGTCTGATTTGATTACTCGTTGATGCTTGTTTTGATTTCTTTTATATAATTTATCATTTCTATAAAGTAATGTTTGCTTCTTTTTGGATTCAAGATTTTCCATATTAGAGATAACCAAGTCAAATTGTAGAGAGGAGAGATATTAATATAGCTGATTGTATAGTTTGTTATTCATTATTTTTTAAATATTCAGGTAGGTGAGATAAAAAATTGGCATTTTTATTCTGGCTACCAGTTTGATATTTAATATCAAACTGATATTCTTGGAGAATCATCCTCCATTGAGTTATTTATTTGTTGTTATTAATAGTATATGAATTTAATAACTATTGTAGTGCCTTGTGATCAGTAATCTCATTCTAAAAATATAATATCTGAAATATTTTATAGCCCAAACAGCTACTAAATATTTGAGTTTAACAATGCTATAATTAGTTTTCACAAGAGTTAAAGTATGGCTAGCATAAACAATTGCATGCTCTCGACCATTTTTAATTTGTGATAGGACTACACCCAGTCTTTGGTAAGAAGCATCAGTAAAGAGAATAAAAGGTTCATTATAATCAAGATATTGTAATATAGGAGTATGTATTAAACAATATTTTAACCAGTTAAAAACCTCATCTTGGGGTTTTTCCCAAATAAAAGGTTTATTCTTTTTTAATAATTTTAAAAAGGCCCAGCCTTTGTAGAAAATCCTTCTATAAATTGTTTATAATAAGATGCTAAGCCTAAAAAGGCTCAAAGTTGAGTAATGGTTTTAGGAAGGAGGAGATAGTTTAGTTTATCAACCTTTTAAGAGTCTGGTTTGATTCCATCAACACCAACTACATGTTCAAGAAATTGTATTTCATTTGTGCAGAAGTGATATTTTTTTGAGTTAATTTGGAGATTGGCTTGTCGAATTAATTTGAACACTTCTTGTATATCTAGTATATGTTGTTTGAATAATGTGGAGTATATATTAATATCATCAATATATATCATAGCTTTTTTCCATAGAACAGGCCTTAATACTATATCCATAAGCCTTTGAAATGTTGATAGAGCATTACATAATCCAAAAGGCATGACATTAAATTCGTAAAGACTATATTTAATAATAAATGCAGTCTTTTCTTTGTCCTCTTCTTTGACTTCTACTTGCCAATATCCAGAAGTCAAGTTCAAAGATATAAACCATTGAGCATTACCAAGGTTATCCAGCATGTCATCAATCCTTGATAGAGGGTAGATGTCTTTCTTTGTCATATTATTTAATTTTCTAAAACCTATACAAAATCTAAGCTTGCCATTTTTTTTTTAACTAAAACAACAGGAGAGCTCCAAGGGCTTTTTGTTTTTCGAATGATGCCATCTTTTTCTATTTTTGCAATTTCTTTTTCGATATGTTTTTGTTCGACTAGTGAGACTTTATAAGCTCTTTGTTTGATTAGATAAGATTCACCAGTATTAATAGTGTGATATACAACATTAGTTTTCTTTAGTTCAGCATTTTCAATTGCAAAGATGTTAGCATTGTTACATAGTAGTTGGGTTATGATTTGTTGTTGGTCATTGTTCAAGGTATATCTAATAAAGATTGATTTGTTTTTACTAATTAGTATAGATACTTTTTGATCCTCTTTCTTTCTATCTTTAATTTCAATAATTTTTGGTTGTACTAATTTAAAAATATCTGGTAAAGGGGGATTTAAAGGGTTATCAACATTTTCTATTTTTACATTTGCTATTAATTGTTTCTCAAATTAGGCAAAGTTGTCCCCAACTTGAATAGTTGTATAGGTTGGTGTAGTGGGTTTATTATCATCTTCTAATTCTAACTCTAATTCCTGATTAGAGTGATAATCTTTGAAATTAATTAAATATATGGTATTAGGATCTTCTATATATTGTTTACAAGATATTGGAATATATTCTATTTGATCTGTTATTCTAATACTTATATATTCACTATAGTAATCGATAGTAGCTTGAACTTTATCTAAATATTTATTGCCAAGTACCACATTATATTTCTTAGACTCAGTTACTATTATATCAACATGAGTTAATTTAGTATATAAAAGAACAGATACATTTTTGACTCATCCTAATAGAGTTGTTTTATTTTCTGTAATATTAACAACTTTAATATTACTAGACTCATTAATTGTCTGATTAACTTTATCAAGGAAGTGTTTAGCAACTACACATCTTTTTAAACCAGTATCTACTAGAACATTAATAGTTGCTCCTAAAACTTTGGCAGTGGTAAATAGTGCATTTTTAACCTGATTAGTTTAAATATTATTATTATCTATATTGTAATTAATTTCATCTGAGTTCAATCCAAGTATTTCTATAGTTTCTTTATAATCTATCCAGAGATTATAGAATTGTTTTTCTAAGTCATTGTCATTATTATCCTCTTTATCTAACAACTCATCTATCTCATCCAACAAAAATGTATATAATGTTTTTTCTTCATTGAATAAGGGTTTTTATTCTGGGTATGCTCACCCTCAGGAGATATCTCTTCTAGTTTAAATGTTGGTGTTGGTTGTTGTTGTTATTGTTGTTATTGTTATTATTATTGTTATTATTATTATTGTTGTTGTTAGGAGGAGGATTATTGTTGTTATTATTATTATTCTGATAATTATTGTTATTATTGTTGTTCTAATTATTATGGTTATTATTGTTGTTATTATAGTTATTATTATTCCAGTTGTTATTACTGTTGTTGTGATTATTATTATTGTTGTTGGGTCTTCAATTTTGATTCAATTGACAATTTCTAGCTATGTATTCTATTTGTTGACAATTATTGCAATAGGGGGCAGTACAATTCGATGCAAAGTGTCCAGATTGATTACATCTAAAACAATTATTATTTTGTTAGCAAGGTGGTCTATAATTGTTGTTATTATTATAATTATTATTGTTATAATTGTTATTATAATTATTGTTATTGTTATAATTGTTTTGATTTTGGTTCTGAGATGGTTGAGATTTTAATTGGTTTTGTTGCATAGATCTAGCAATGTACTGTGCAGCTTCTATAAGATCACCTCAAAGACTATTTTGTGATTGGGTAAGTACTACCATATGAGATAGAGTGGTATATCCTCCAAAGAATTGTGGTTGAAAGGAGGTTGGTAGAAGAAAATAAGCAGAAAGAGCACTTCCTTTAGAGTATGCTACTTCAATAGCTCTTGCCTTGTTTACTGCTTGATTAAGAGTAGTTGGACACTCGGATTGTACTGGAATTTGAAATTCCTGATATAGACTATCAATAAATTGTCTGATTTTGTCAACCTCAGAGTAATTACTATTTGGGTCTACTTTATGCCATAACTCATCAAGGGCAGAATTATATACATTTACAGTTTCATTAGGTTTTTGTTTTCTGCTTCAAAGAGTATAGTGCCATTGAGATATTTTAAATAGATCTCAAAATTTTTGTTCAAAAAGATTTATAAAGAACTGGTTAGGTAGAAGGTTATTCATCCAGTATGCAAAATTTGTTTTATTTTGATTATACCAAGATAATGCATTTCCTTTAAGAAAATTAGAAACAATTATAAGTCTTCTATTTTCACTTATGTTATTACCAATACATGCTCTTGTAAAAGCTTCAAGCTATTTAACTAGATCTTCATTACTGTTTCCCGAGAAGATAGGGAAATCTATTATTTTATACTCTTTTTGATTGGTTGTTGCTGTAGTTGCTCAAGTATTATTTTTTTCTATTACTTTATTTAACCCTTTTAAAATCTCTTGAATAGCCATTTGTGCATCAAATTCTGGAGTTTCTGGTTTGGCTTCTTGTTGTTGCTATTGTTGTTGTTGCCTATTTGGTTGTCTAGACTTGGTCTTCCTAATCATTATTAACATCATTATTGTTGACTACATAGGTAATTTGATTATTATTATTATCATGCCCTGGTTCTGATCTGGCTTGTCGAAACATATTTGTAGATTGATTAACTGTTTGAAAATATGCTTGTTCAAAGGTAAGCTCTATATTATCATTTTGATTATTTGAAGGAAAAGGATGTGATATTAATTGTGTTGTCTCTTCAGTTGGTTCTAGATTGCTTTTCAACTGTGTAATAAGACTTTGAGCTTGATCTATGCCTTTTTGAATTTGTTTACCAGTCTTTTTAATTTTTCTACTTAGAATATTTGCTGAAGGATTAGAAAGATTAGAATTAGAGTATACAATTTCTAATCTAGACTTAGT